TATATATATATATATATATATATATTGCAGATTCCATTAAATTGGGGCAGCAGTGGCCTAGAGGTGAGAGAAGCAGGTCTGTGACTGAAAGGTTGCACCAGCAGGATAAACCCTGCAGGCGTGGAGAAAGAAAAAAAAAGTGCTAGGCTCTCACTCATTACCACCACTGAGGTACCCTTGAGCAGAAAACGCAACCCCCATCTGTTCAGTAGCCAACACTACATCGCTGTGCATGCGGATCAGGGAGTTCATAGGAAGGACAATTTGTGCTTAGCAGACCAACATTTTATTAAAAGGGATTTAAAAGTATTAATGCTCAACAAGATGACAACTTCTGTAACTGAAAAGATATTGGCGAAATGAATGTGCAACCGTAAAGAATGTTGTAATTTTGTTTCTAGAAATTGTTAATGAAACGGGTGACAAATTTTTGGCTTGTATGTAAAAAAGCAAACGGTATTGATATTTTATCATTGTACAATTTAATGACATTTGACACAATTGGGAAAAGTGTTTCACTGATGATTAACTTCCTGCAATCTTTCATTTCGATAAAAAACGTTACGTATCGAACAACCATCATCATTAATGACGGATAACGCAAGGTTTCTTTAGTCAGGAAAAGTCAGTGCGATCCAAATGACAATGCTGTCTGAAGAGACGTGCTTGTTACTTTGCTTGGTATCGTGTTTGCTGTCCACTAGGGGTCAGTATTGTCATATTTCTGCACAGGTAATCTTTATATTGGTGGGGTGGCGAAGGAGATGTTCAAGGAGCTTCCCAAACTGGTGCATGCCAAGGAGGGCTTTCAAGGTTGTCTGGCGTCAGTGGATCTGAACAGCCGGCTCCCAGACTTGATGTCAGATGCTCTGGACTGTGTGGGACAGATAGAGAGAGGGTGTGAAGGTGAGTAGTCGCTCAGCCCGCTAAGGAAATGTGTTGTCTGCTGTTTGTTACTTTCAAACTTTTTTTTGTTGTCTTTGGAGTACACTACTGAAGCTCAGGTTTGAATTGTATTGTCTCATTTAAACCCGATTTCACTGACAAAGTCTCATAATTACTCTGGTTTCCCCTCATTATCACAAAACTATCCTAAAGGTACATTGCGGCACCACGCAGCGCTGTAATGTTGCTCAGTCCTCTCATTTTAATGCTTGTCCGACAAGGACACACATACACTGTGAAGCACAGCCACATTGCCAACCTGTGACACATAATTTAACATCCATAAAGTGTGTTAGTATTCTGTTAGAATGCATCAAGCTCTGACACTCCTCCACAGGCAATCATTTCTGTTTCACTTAGCCATAATCTGATTATTCTCTCTGCCATATTTGTACTGCCAGTGTTATTTCCCATTGTAGCCCCATTCTGTTTTGCTCTATGCATGCTTGCTGGATCTAAGAGTTTGCCAGAAGCGATCCTTTTGAATTATGTATGAAGCCTTTGTTGCATGCATGAATATCATTTGCCCAGTCTAATGTGTGCACCACATCCAGAGACAATATTAGATTTATTTTTCAACTTCACTCACTTAGTTTTATTTCACAACTCATCCACTGTTGTTCTATTGAGTACGCAACTTCTGATCTTTTCATGTTCCATTACGAATGTAATCAAAATGTAGCGCCCTCTGTGGGTCTGTCAAGCTTGCTGTTTTCGTTTTGTGCCACATGGCATCGATGGCCGCTCTCAATGGAAAATGGCTTCTATTAAAACACATTAATTGAACTGTACTACAGGTGTCAAAAGGTAGCATATAGTCGCTGATATTATTTTACTACGGCAGGGATCATTTCAGAATATAAATGAGAGAAAATACGTAGATTTCTATTCTTGTAAATTTTACCAAATATAATGGACACACCATATCTACCTCCCATAATAATGACTTAACTATTTCAATTGGATGTTTTTTCGTCATATTGCTGATATTGAGAGTAGTTGCTATTACAGTTTAGATTATTCCGGTCTGCATTAAACAATACAATTCGTCCCCTCTGGCTCTTTCTGAGGACAGACATCGGCCTCATTCCTCACTCTGTCTCTCCTGCTTCAACAGTCTGTGTTTCTGTTGCTCCATCTCTGACGCCTTGATCCTTTACTAACAGCTGGTACACTTTGCCTTTTCCTTTCCTATTATTTTGCTGACAAAAGTTGCATTGATGAAAGCTGACTTGCAAGGTAGATAGCTTTGTGTGTTTGATACAGAGTCTGATGTCCTTCCTCCCTTTGTATCTACAATGCCTCTGCCCCTCACGTCTTCACAGTCTCTACCTCCACACTTTCCACTCCCTGAACAAGATATCTGCCTAATTTGAACTCACCCACCTGCTGTATGGAATGGGCTTCAGTCCCATAGGAATACAAGTACCATTACCATCTTGTATCAAAGTCTATGGGGATCACGTTTTGATTTGCACTCGCATATTGTGTGTTGTATTTTGTTTTTGTCTTTTATTGTTGACATACGTTTGCATGACTTTATACTCTTAATAATGTTTTCTCCTGCATGAATTTTCCATCTAATATAATCAAGGTGTTAACTCAAACCTCAGTCATTTTCCTGTTTTACATGACATTAATCATTGTTGTTATAAGTCCCATGTTGACTAATGCCATATTCCTGTAATCTCTGGCACTCTATAGATATAGTAGGAACTATATCAAGCAGCAGCCTTTTAAGATTTAACAGTTTAAAGTAGGCTTCATAACAAAGCACCAGCGGCCAGTAATTTAAGTAAATTCAGAGGCATATTGATAAATAAAAAGCAATATAACTACATTATAGTTACTGGATTTGTAATCAACATCAATTGAAATTACATAATTATGTAAAAAAATAGTATAATTCTGTATCTTAATCATTTGAAATGATGATGTCTTATGTTCACTAGACATATTTATAAGTATGCCAATACACATCTCATTGTTTACTTGACTCCCTCGCTAAGTCAATAGAAATTAGGCCCCATTACATTTGTGACACATTAGGTATAAACAATATGAAAGACTTTTGTAAGACGTGGAATCTCAAGCATATCATAAGGTTAGATGCAATTTAAATTGACATGAATTCCAAGGTTTTTCAGAAACATCATTAATCAAACTGTTGTTTTTCTTGTTGCAAAAAGCACACTGTACAGCATTTTATAATTACATTGTTAACCTTGAGTGAGCTACAGCCAACACTTAAACCTATTAAGCAGTTTCTATAGCTACTCTGAGGCTGAGCAGCAAGTTACCGTGGCTACAATCATTCAGAAAAGATCATTTTTAGAGAGTTTCGAATATACGTCTGTATTCAATAGCTGAGCAACTCATTTTAAAATATCACTTATATGCACTTCTTTATTTGAATACCGCAACTATCGAAAAAGTAGCTGTGTTCTCCCTGTATGATTATGGCTGTGAAGGGGAGTGCTGCATGCATGCAAGCAGTAGTTTGTCATTATTCAGATTATATGATGTCCATGTGGCATAAACCTAGTCCAAATATCCACATGTTAGCAATTAAGGATACAAATTGACAAATAATGGTGGCCAGAATTGTTGCCACCAAAATAATCCCATAATTAAAATATTTAACAAACTTATAAGTTTAAATATATAAATACATAATAACAACAATCATCCATACTAACCAGTGCCATTCCACTAACATTTCTCCATTAACTGAAACAGCTAGGTATCACTGTCACACAGACGATACAGTCGGTGCAGTCGTACACTTACTGCACTTTGGCCCAGACTGACAGAATGACTGACTGACTGATACGTGGTTGGAATGATGGAGATGCACAAAAACTTTGACCTCAAACACATCTGGAAGAACTATTACATTGCTATTTAAAAGCACATTGATAACTCCGGCCCCTACTGTTGACAAACTGAGCATCATTGTTCTATGACCCCATTCACAGCTGGTAGGAACATGCGTCCTCTGATTGAACTAACCATCTGCACAGGTGGTCAGGGACACGTTGGAGAAGGAAAGGTGAACTGCATTACAGTGTGTACTATATTTTGTAGACACATTTGTGGTGCAACAATATCAAATCTAGATACTAGTATATATACTGTATCTGTTATTGCCAATTGTTTTGCACTGATGTTAGTATTACATCCATCACACTTTCTTTTTATATCTCCATTGTTTATAAATACATTATTGTAATTTTTGATCAATCTCTGGCACAAGAATTTCCTTCTGGATTAACAAAGTTCTCTTTTATCTTAGTTTAAATACGTGCTACTGTATTGTACAAAAGGTGGATGTAAATAGGGGCTGTAACCTAAATCCCAACATTTAATTTAATTATTATGCACTCTGCTGTTCTGAAATACTAAATGTTAAACAAAATATGGAAATCACGAATGACAGTTAAATCCTAAAATTGAAGTTATTAAAACAAATGCAGTTTTTGTACATTTGTGAGGTTTTTGTTGCGTGTGTTTCCTGAAAACTGTTGAAGGTTTTGGGCAGGCAGTTGGCTACAACCTGTGAATTTGAAGCAGTTTTTATAGAAAGAATGCAAAATATGGCTAAATACACAGTTGTGGTGTTTGCACAGCATATGTATGTTTGTTCTGTGTATGCTTCCATTTGCAGAAGCCTATTGTCTGTGTGTTCGGCGTGACATTTCATTTCACTGCAGGGTCAATCTGCAGAATGTGCTGCCAGTTATTGTAAAAGTCTGCTCACCAAGTTGCCATTTGTCTCCGTATTCAGGCCCCAGCACAACGTGCCAAGAGGACTCGTGTGCCAACCAGGGTGTGTGTCTTCAGCAGTGGGAGGGCTTCAGCTGTGACTGCAGCATGACGACATTTGGAGGACCGCTCTGTAATGATGGTAGGCTTCCGCTTCCCGGTTTTTAACTCAAAAGTCAGAATAGTTTTTTGTTCATTTTTTTTATTTTAAATGAGTTAGACAAGTACATAGAAAACATACTTCACATGCAACTCAAAGCATTAGATGTACAATTCAGTTCATCTCTGGAGCTAATTAAACACGTCCAGGAGGAATCTTGGTGTCAGAAGTTTAAAGGTGGGTGTTATCATCAACAGCGCGGCCATTTTTATCCTATGCTTTCACACATCATTTGTGTTCCAGCTCATTATTGTTTCCTGCCTGTGGTGCTATATTTGTGTCCTCACGAAGCACGATGTTTGCCAGCAATAAGACAAACTTTCTTTGTCAACTCTCCAATTGAACGAAGTAAAGTCCCTAGACTGTGCTGTGTCCTGTTACTCGGTCAATTAGGACGAATCTTCAACGAAACGTCAGTGGCTCTGCTTGAATATACATCATCTTCACTGAGGGTGTCAAGAGCTGTCGCAACTCTGCAGGGCAGACTCGTTTAGGATTGTGACATCTGGCTGACAGCTCAGTGAAAGCTCATTAAAGTTTGAGAGATGTACCACTAGAGGGAGCAACAAACATTGTGTTCTGCTAAATAAAACATCTAAAACAAGTCTATCAAGCAAACAAAATAACCAGAAATGGCCTTGTAAATTATTGCAATTTTACCAGATAGCATGCTGTTGACCAATACTAATTAAAACCTCAAACACACCTTAAATGGTGAGCTTGCTGGATTACTTCATATTTCTCTAGTGGCTAGTCTGCCCTCTCACAAGGAGAACAACTCCATTCCTCAGCCCCTTTATAGCCGGGATGCATTGTTACATCCGTCAGTTACAATTCATAAGGGAACTAATAATATGTCTGATAGCACATTACAGCTCATGTAAATTCAAAATGTAAATCATTTTGAGCAGAATATTGTGTATTGATACTTGTATGCCGTTGTCCTCTAAATTGAGTGTTGTAAACTTCAATTTACCGTAGTGCACCCAATCTCAACGAAAACAGAAAAACAGCGTGTGACTTGCAGTTAATTTAAAGTTAGTAATGTGTTCACACAGTTTTCATTATTATGAGGAAACACTTATCTATTTTAACAATTAAAACAATCAAATCAACAACAGATAGCAACTGTCAAGCCTTTCCTTGGAAAACACAGTCTATCTTGTAAAATGTTAAGTTAATGATTCTGAGCTAAGATCTTAAAAAAAAATCTTAAGATCACATATCAAAAGAGTTATCTTTAGAAAAATAGAGGATGACATCATGCACTGTGGTCGAGTGGCTAGCACTGTCGCCTCACAAATTAAAACCTCAAACACACCATCAAGATTTAACTTACTTTGAACCACATTATGCAATTTAAAAGTTCTATGATATTAATCTCTCTAAAAGACAGTAAACAGGCATTTTGTTTAAGGGACTCTGTGCTCATTAGTGCTTAGCTTTCGAGAGAACTAGGGTAATGTCTTCCGCTCCTTTTTTAGAAAATGGGCTACTTCCTTATGCAAAACATGCACAGGGGATTTTTTTTTTTGGTCATTATTTTCTTCTGCAGCGGTTTACACAGTAAGGGGTGAATGGGCAATGTGCTGAACTGCATTAAGGAGAAAAGAACAGAGTGGGCACTCTGGAGATGACACAAAAGAGAGAGGAGAGAGCACCATAAATGTTAATGCATTCTGTGTCAATTCTACCAGCTCGGTAGGACCTCATCTTTTGTTATCAACAGAGAGTGTTAATAGATTCCCATGCAGCCTCGCACGCTGAACATATCTGCTCCCTATGATAACGCTAAAAGGATTCTTCTGTCCATGAGATGTGAGTCGAGTGTAGCCCGTCCTGATCCTAGCCCTCCTCGGCCCGTTTTTTCTCTCCCTTTCATTCCTCAGACCATGTTTTGATCAACACAGGAGTGGGGCTGGAGTTGTTGAGGGATATTTTTGATGGCGAACTGCTTGTGAACCTTCCGTGTGCGTTAAAGAGAGAAGAAAAGCAGTTTGGAACTTTCTTCCTGTCGTACATATTCATCCTGAGCAGGCCGGTACAGCTCAATTCCAGCCGTACAGGACACGCACACGTATATTATATCTGAGCAAGTGCTCTACCTGCTGAGTCTAGTTACTGCAGCTAGTCTCATTATTCCTTCTGACCTGACAAAACAATAGGGACGGATCAATGTGCAGTCCCGAGGGATGCAATATGTAACCACAAAAAAACATACTTTCCAAGAATCTCTTTCACCAAGGATGAACTGAAGCAGTCCTCTGAATAGTGATGCAAGACATCCTCACTCTGCCGAGGAAATTCTATGAGAAGGAAAAAAATGAAGCTGGAGATGGTGGGGTTGTATCTGTGTTGATGGATTGTCATGGGAATAGAGGAGAAGGGGGAGCAGCAAAGGAACGAGAGAAGCGTCTCTGAGGAAAATATCCCTTTTTACCAGATATATTTGCATAAGCTGAGGTGCAGGCAATTTACAATAGAGCAATGGGTCTCTGAGAAAGCAACTTAAATGGTGAGCTTGCTGCATTACCTCATATTTCTCTAGTGGGTAGTCTGCCCTCTCACAAGGAGAAAAACTCCATTCCTCAGCCCCTAGACCCGTAACATTCATAGCCGGGATGCATTGTACAGCTGCCAGTCACAAATCATTAGGAAACTAATATTATGTCTGATAGCACAATGCAGCTCATGTAAATTCAAAATATAAATCATTTTGAGCAGAATACTGGATTGATACTTGTGTGCCGTTGTCCTCTAAATTGAGTGTTGTAAACTTCAGTTTACTGTAGTTCACCCAATCTCAACAAAAATGAAAAACAGCGTGTGACTTGCAGTTAATTTATTATAATTAATGTATAAACACAGTTTTCATCATTAAGAGGAATCTACTTTAAGACTTAAAACCATCAAATCAAAGATTTTTTTTTTTATTGCATACTATTGCCTTTTGCAAATACTTCTACTTTTCTTCAGCAGTCTACAATAAGCAGGGCCGGTATCCACACACACTCTGCACTAAGTCTCATTTCTTTCAGAGCAATCCACCGTTTCTTGGCTGTGCTTTGAATTTATTGTGATAAAAGTATTACAACTTTTCAGAACAGTGCTGCACCTTTCAGTTCAGAATGATTGGTGAGATGATGACACAGATATAAAAACAATCTTCAGATCTTCTCTTCATCATCTCCCAAACACTTCATCCCAGTGATGTGCCAGTACTTTTTTTTGAATGACCTGTGGACACGGTGTCTTTAGAGTGGTATTTTTAGAACCAATTATCCCCACTGCGTACCTACAGTCAGTGAAACTAGGGTAGAAAATGAAATACAATCCACACTGACCAGGATGAGTGTCTGTCAGATCATCGTGCATGTGAGATGAACTACGGTTGTGAATTGTGTTAAGCATGCATTTGGTCTCATTACTACAAGCTATCTTGGATGCCAGTAGGCATAAAATGACTTGTCAGTTAAGGGACAAGAAAGGAGACAGACTCAGTGTATCTATGCGATGAAGTCATCAGTACTGTTGTGCAAGCACAAACCAATGCTGGTAATCAGCCCAAAGAAGAACATTATGCGTGTCTTAATTTACGCTTAGACTAGGAGTTGATATTGCCATATTACATCTTGTCTTCTCTAAAAGGTCCAATAGGGTTTAAAAAACTGCTAGTTTTCATTCAGAAGCTGAGGCTTGGTTTGTGTGTGTGTGTGTGTGTGTGTGTGTGTGTGTGTGTTCAGGGGCGGGGGGGACTTAAACTCCAGTCCAGACCTCCTGAGGGAATTTGCCTGCAGTGGTGTAGCATCTGAGTGTAATGTACAGAGACAAACAGAATGGTGTTTACTGTTGAGCTAAAGTGGGTCGTAGAGAGGCTTCAGCAAGGGGTAAGCCCGGCCTTCACGCAATTTCAGTCTCGCCTGATTGCTTCTCCGCCCAGTCTTCCAGCTAGAGCTATTAGTGCCATGTCAATATTGTATCAACAATGGAGGTTGTATGGGTCCAGTTTCCATTGTCTCTGCCCAAGGGGCAAAGACGAGCCCTTCTCACTTAATTTCTTATGCGTCTGAGTCAATGCTCATTCTTGTACCTTGAGAATAGTCCGTCTGGGCCCCAGGCTCGGTATCCAGTGTGTGATCTGCATCAGATATGGGTCAGATTTTTCTCAAGCACAGACAGCGGAAAGACAAAGGACCCCATTTCTGTCATGTGGCCCCTCTTCATGTAGTCTAAAGACAGCCACTCTAACACAGAGGAACACACGCGCTGACACGTTTGTTGCTTCAGTCCACAAAAGCCATAATTCAAATAAATAATTTAAAAAAGAATAGAAGAATCTAGTGAATCTAAGAAAGTTCAGAAAATGAAAACAAACACACCGCAGTCTGGTGGACTTTCTTGACATATTATTTTATTATAAGTAGCAATGCATCACGTCCAATGTCTACATTTTTTGGAGTCATAATGATTCAAGAATAGCATTTAGAATTTACATGAACAATTATTTGCCCCAGTTTAGCTTCTTTTAAATCTTCAAGCATGTTCCTTAAATTGTCTTTTAGTATAGGGCACTTGTGTTTCAGTATTGTCGTGATGGTCCTCCAGATTTACGATGCAGATAAACGCTCATGCACACACACACACACACACACACACACACACACACACACACACACACCAGCACAAGCGCACAGGAAATACAGCAGACAGTTTTGTCCCTGTCCTCTCTGGTGGCATGACCATAGACCACTTAGTTTGGTTTGGATCAATACAAGGGGATACTCATTCCAGTAGCGAGGCCAAGGGGATATGAGGCACTCGAGTAAACAGGCTGCTGTCACATGGAAGTAATGTCCTCTTTGCCATGGATGTGGCCCTCTTTTAATGCAGCTCAGTGATACAAATGAATGGGCCTGAAAATATTTGGACTCCGTTGTGTGTATTGAAAGCTTGGTCTAGCTCAGAACAGCCATTGTGTCCCGAGATATGAGAGAATCAGTCTTAAGTGCGTCTGTCTTTTCGATTCAGTAAACATACGCGTGAGTGTTCACACGAATGTACAATCAAATAACCATTCCATGTTATCAATGGATAATGTTTTAAAATATACTTTATATATACTTGTATATACTTACACACAATGAGAGTAAATGATTATGAAATGATGTTAATAAGTTATTATCATTCACTTTGAAGGTAGACGTGCAACATAACCAATGCACTATAAATATACAGTATAATATAGTGTGCTTATTCGAATAATCTTAGTTCTGGTGATATTCTATGTTATTATTATTGTCAACAAATCCCAGGTGAAGACCAAAACCAACAATGAATTGATCCTACTAATACTGTCTGTGTTTCCAAAGCACAGATATGAAATGTTTATTGTTCTTTGCCATAAAGTTCCGCTGCTGTCCCAAAACTAATAATAATAATAATAAAAATGTTCATCCTGATAATAATATCCCAAACTATTGAATGAGGCTTTATTGTTATTGTCTTCTTGCTGTCCCTCTTTTACTCTCTCTCTCTCTCTTTCTCTACTTCCAACTCAATATAAGTGGTCACTGTCTGCCCTAATTATTTCTCAATAATTTCCTCGTACTGATTGAGTGTCTGAATTTAAATGGGTTTCTGTGCCAGGAAGCAGTGGGTAAAGCCTGTTGGCATAGAAACCAGGTCTCCTTTTCCTCCCACTGTGGATGCTGTAACGTGTCTGTAACTTTGCCCAAGCAGTGCTATCCCAGCAGGAAGTGGTGTAGAATCACTAACATGGCTTGATGGAATACTGAATTATCATGTAGTTGCTTCATACACATACGTGTACACTTGTGATGTGATAGTCCACTGGACTGATGGTAAAACATAGTCTACAGCTGGAGGCTGTTACAGAGGCTGTTACAGAGGAGGCAAGCCACATGCCTTTTATGTGATGTCATGCTGGCACGGTGGCATCTGTACTGTGTGGAGGAGCAGCTGTGTTTGACATGTGTCAGATCGCTTCATAAGACTATGCTGCTGTTCATATGGCAAGGCAGAGATCTGGTGTGCCCTCAACAATACAAACTCAGTCGGGGAGAGCACTTCTTGTGCTTTTCAACATTATCTTTGTCCCATCGAACAGTATACGGCCAGATCAGAGTTGTGCACGAGCATTAAGCACATTCACTTGTCTTCTTTGTAATCTCTGCTGTAATCAGAATCTCATCTAGAACTCATTGCAGTGCAGTGGTGAGAACCTAATCTTTGAGGTGTTTTTTTTAATTGGTAGCCTGGGGGGAGATGTTGACAGGAAATAAGAAGCTGTTGTTTCTCCACAACACAATACTAATTAAAGTGTTGACTAGAAGACAGAGTATCTGCTAAACTACCCTGCTGGGTGATACACTGACACTGTGAATATTCCCCTCAGGCTATTGAACATGACTCTTCGGGAGAACTGTGGCAAAAATCTTACACATCCCTAAAAAACAAAATGATAGCTTCCGTGTACAATGTCTCTATGTTGAGGTTTTTTTGAATATCCTAGCTTTTGACAAGTGGACTTACCTTACCTTACATTACCTTAACTTGTACCCTGTAGCAACACATCCAGTTTTTAGACCAAAATATCCTATTGCTTTGTTTTCTAGTAATTCAACTGTTGGTTGGGGTGAAAGTAGAGATCTGGAGAGTCAGACATGCTTGATAGATGAACATTTCCTCCCCCTAAACCTTTTTCTTTTTTCTGAGTAACACTGCTTGTGCGACGCACTAATGGACATGTACTATGCCTGCAGTACGGCCACAGGAGCATCTAGATACACTTGTGAAATGCTGTCACAAAGCAAATGAAGCAAAGCAACTGTTTAGTATGTCTGAACATAGCTGTGTGCTGCAAGTAATATTAACAATATGCACAAAGGGCTTAGACAATACAAACTCTGCTGTCTTTCTTCAACATTTGGAGGTCAATAGAACTGATTGGTCTGAACTGTCCTTGAACTCAACTAGCTTCTAAAGTGTCTCTGCATAAAGGAGAGATTTCATGTGTGGCACTAGTCAAATCCTCTCTTATCTGTAGACAGCTAAGGTGGAGAATTAGTGCACACACAGATCACTGACTGTCCTGAGGCCAATTCACAACACTCAACCTTCAAATACATCAGACCCCTTTTAGATTTTCACACGACAGAATGTTTGTGTCTTGTAATCAGGTCTCTTGAAGTCGTTTTCACACTCCATGACTGACTGGCGACAGGGGGTCACACACTACAAGATATTTCACCAGGAGAAATTCCCAATGAGGTTTTCAAACTATGTTTTGTCAAAAAGATGTGAAAAGTGACGTGTAGTGCTTGTTGATGTTGTTGGTACACCTGTTTCCACACGTCTTTACCGTTTCCCCAATGTAGATCGGTTATGTGTTATGTTTATTCTTGTAAACAACATGTGAACGCAGAAACTACGCAGATGTGTCTCTTATTTGGGGTCTGCGAGTGGAAAATCAGGGCACACCAGGCATTAGCCACAATATAGATCCGTCCTGATGGATTGATGTAGAGAGGAGACCTGTTTAGTAGATATTTTGAACAGTATATTTGGTGTAGGGGGCAGCCACCTCACTAGCAGCCTCGAGAACTGAGCCAGTACTATTAGGGGTTTCTAATGCAATACGTGCAGTCTGTGCTTTAGGCCGCTGGCCATTCATAAACCAATCTTTCACTTAGACATGAATGGCTCTACGGCATTGGCGACTTCCTGATCGCTGATTGTTGCATGCTTTCCGTGTTATCACTGTGGAAAATGCAAGCATGTCTTGTCCCCACAACTTTTCTTGGCTCGTGCAAAGTATTTGCATTAAATTAGTTTGGTCTTACCATACAACACTCCTGTCAGGGTACAGTAAATTGCATTTTATATGTGCATTATGTATGTTTACCAGACTTCAGCTTGGATTCATTACGCAAGGAACCACTGCTTATGCACTCTTCCCTGTGAAGAAGCACCATTCATTTTGCATGTATTTTGGCCGATTATGTTGCCAAAACCCCGCACAACAACACCCATCACAGAGCCAGATCCCCCCACGGCCTTTTACATCTACCTGGCACCTAAAGTGTGTCACCACTGGTGTCTAAAATCCTGCTGGCTGTTGGGATTGCATGTTGGTCCCCTCTGACTTCTGAAAACATTGGTCTCACAATTTCCATGCTTTTGATGTCTTGGACAGTGGCGACACATCAGGCAGCCTTCGCTCATGACACCTCCTCCTCTGAAATACCTTATAAACCAGAGTCAAAAGGCACTCCAAAGATCTTGCTCTTGTTTGTCATGACCATCTACAGTAGCCGAGACGAAATCCTGACTGGGAGTGTGTGTGTGTGGGGGGGAGGGCTGACCCAGAATGTGTTACACCCAGCTCCTTAAATTTGTGTTGGTAGCAGGTTCTCCCCTGCCATCAGCTTTTCAAAACAGTATTTAGATTTTGAAATGAAGTTTCCCCCTTTTTATTTTCTCTACCGTCACTCTACATGAATCGTTTCTAAAGCCCACCCTCATGCTTCCCTACCATGCAGCAGACATTGCTCAGCTGCCCCTCTTTACCTTGTTCCACTCCCACATGTCAGAATGTGGTCAGAAGTGCCGAATTCTCCTACAGGAACAGAACAGTTTGCCCAGCACAGCTTTACCTTCTGTTTCAACCCAGCAGCAACATACTTACGCTGCGTGCACTTCTAACTGAATGACTTCCCGTGCCGTAAAGGTAAAAGCCAGCAGAGATCCAACAAACCCCATATTCGTCTCTGAAAGTAAATATCATTCACCTGACTAATGTTTCTTCAATGAGTTCATGTTGCTTGAATGATTCAAACCAGAGATAGAAGTGAAAAGTACACAGTGATGAATCCTTGTAATGTATGACATCAGATTCCACGTAGTTAAAGTTCTGTAGAGTTTTAAGTGCACTTTGACTGATTAACACTGGAAAAGAAGAGCAGTGGTTTAGTGCCCATTGATTCAACTTTGGGCTTTCACTACATGACTCTATCTAGTAGGATTCCCACTTGACAACCGGCGCTGGCTGCAGAATGCCTTGTATTCATACATCTATATTTCTGATGAAGTTTTCAAAACCAGAATATATGTATACTGTAGTATGCTTCTTCGAAGAGTGTATTCTTTTCTTATGCTTTATTGTTGTAGCGTTGTTTATTTTCAAAGGAATGAACTTCATTCAAGAGTATAAGCAAAAGACAAAAATGCTTTTGAGAAGAGTGGAAGCAGTTTGCTTATAAGTACTTTCATATTAAGAAAAAAAAGGACAATTATTTTTTTAATAAACCTCTTTGTTGTCCCAGTTAGCTGGAGCGTGGCAGAGTGGTGCACTAACAAAGAAGCTTTGGACTCCTGACGGGAGACACAGTCTGTCCTTGACCTGTTCAGGATGAAGCGCTCTGAGAAAGGAACTGATCTCTACTTTGGACAGATTTTAGGAAAGACAGCGAGACAGAGACAGACACGGTGCCCTGGTGGCCCACTGCATCTTGGGAACTGTCAGAGGAGATAGAGAGAAAGCCTCCAGAAAACTGCCGACCTTTGAACCCTATCTCTCTCATTGAGGATTTAGTTTATGCATTCGCAGACACATCATCGTCACACAAGCACACACCCACTCACTGACACACACATAAGTACATATCTATGCGTGTACGTACGCATGCACACACACATACACTTTATTTGCACTTAGGTTCAAGGATTTTTGAATGTTATTTCCCCTGTGCGTGATCTTAATGTGTATCTAAATAGATTTATGGAAATGAATAGTGCTATTGTGGCATTGTTTATGCATTAGGAGAAAAAAAAAATACTCTCCGTCACATCAGCCAGATTGCAAATCATCCTTCACCAGCAGACACCAACGACTCAATGTGCAATTTAAAAAACATCCATCTCTCCATCTTTCGTGTATGTAGTTTTGGCCTGCTCTGGCCCTGTTTATGGAAGAATGCTGTGTGCATGTTGGTATCTGTTTGTTTTCGTCTGTGTGTTTATGCTAAACAAGAGAAGACAGTATCATTATTTGGCTACAACCATGCCACTGTAGTTTCATGATGATAAATGTTGTACAGGACAAATCTCGAATAGTGTACAGTTGCATATTAATCTAATGTTCAATTTCTGTAGAACACAAGATACTGCACTTCATGAGACCAACACTCCAAAATAAATGCTGCAGTATGTGAATACGAAAATCAAACCAAACAACTTTTAAGCATTAACAATATCAAAAGAGTGTTTTTAAATTAGCTTTTTTCACTTAATTTAGTAGCTCCATTCAATTAATTATGTTTTAGTCATTTGAGAGAAAATTAGAGTACGGATGAATGAGTTTCAATGTGGAGTTTTTCTTTCTTTGTTTTGCTCCAAGTGAAAATGAAGTCATTCCATTACACCAGCACGCAGTGCCATTTGCGGATTTGATTTTACAACACAAATTTTGCATTATTTCCCATTAGTGGGCCGTTTTATCAGCTTGAGTGGTGTTATTTATGCAGTCTTCACAGCTTGCATAATGAACAGTTTGTGCAGCACAAATCTCTATGCGGTGCGTGAGGGCTGCTGCATCTTACCTAAACCATGTAGCTGATTACTCTAAGCCTAATGTGCATGCATCACTGACTGTGTGACAGTGCAACATGCATGAGGGATGGACATTCATAGAAAGAGCTAATCACTTAATGATGAGGGTAGTCACGGCTATGGCGATGATTTAAACCTTTAGCTGCTTTGCTCTGCAGCCAAAGATACTGAGGAATTGAAAATCACCAAGTCGATGCCTTTTTCACCTGTGGGGGTCAGAGTTAACTTAACCCACTCTAACTGATACAGTAGCGTAATCTGACGGACAGGCGCTCTGATGTAACATCCTCCGCCAACACAAACAGTATTAGCACTCTGACCGCCCTCTGTGCTCAAACACTCTACAGCTTGTGTGTTTGTATTGAGGGTTGCCTCCCTGTATCTGTCTGTTCTTATCATGTCACATCTCCGGATGACTAAGACAGAACTGCGTTTCTATTTTCGTACTCTTGCATACATTAGCATCAGCGCACTGTGTGCCTGTCTGTCTCTCTGTAGGGATTGCAAAGCATGTTTGAATGAGTAATGAAACGTTTGATTTTCCGAGTAGACTCCCAGTTGTATAAAAAGCTCAGGTTCAACATTGTATGTCAATGAATGGCAGGCCGTAATAATGGTGAATACCAACGTTTTTCTCTTCCAGTGTACAATACACTCCAGAGATGAAATCCTCCAAACACCCTCCTTTACAAGGACGCATATGTTGCTGTGCCTGACACAGATGTGTCACTTCAGCACACAACGGGTATACCAGGTTCATGCATGGCTTGGCCTTCATGCTTGATCTGCTCTGAGCAGGTTGCATCTGATGCACTAAACTGCACCTGAATAGAAAACAGTAAGCTGCTGTAATCATGGACCTCCCAGCTCAGCGCTGATTGAGTTATTTAAAATAAAAGTCATTTGATTTACTTTCTTGAGATGTTTGCAGTAAATATCATAGCGGCTCTTGAAGAGGAGAAACATCGCTTTTAAAGTGGTCCGAAGTACCCGTTCCTCCCTCAAGAGTCTCTCCATGTGTGATAATGTGTCGCCTGATGGACCTCTAACTGATTCAAAGGCCTTGCTCCAGTGGGGTCAGGCACTCTTAGACCACCCATACGCTGCTCTCCCTCCACTATTCCTCCAGTCCTCCAAAAATCATCTCATCAGTGGAGTGTACTGTGGTGGTTGGAGTCTTAAGTGAGTAAGTACTAGAGACTACTCATGTCCTTTTGTTCTCTTTTGCTCTCCAAGGGACTATTACACCCAAGACTCTTCCTCTACATTCCTCTTCTTCTCGCTGCTCACTTACACAGAGAGAGAGAGAGAGAGAGAGAGAGAGAGAGAGAGAGAGAGAGAGGATTTCTTGAAGTTAGTTTAGGTGTTGGTCCCAGGTGTTTGCTTTTGTGCAGGCAGAAATAATTTCGTTGTGAGTGTTTTCCCTTCAGCTGCATCCATGTCATCAGATTGTCTTGCTTCTCATACGCCAGTTCGTCATGATAAATCGGATCAGAGCAAAGGGCTACCTGCTGAAGGCTTAGTGGTATCATAGTTCAGGTGATCTTATAGGAATTGATTAGAATCAGAATCATGTATCCGAACGCAACTCTTCTTTCATCGTTTGAATATATGAAGTGATTTGATGCAGTAGTGAGGCTTTTAGTGATAGTCCTATAATGAAGCCTTTTGTATCCTATGGATCTGGTGATGTACTGAATATTTTTTACTTATTAAGCTGCTGGCTTTGTGATAAACCAACAGACCTTTTGTGCACTTCACAGTTCCACCACTTGGGGGCACAAACTAACAAGTAACGAATGGTGAACCTGATCAATGTATCACTGCTGATGTCATTAACTTAAGTTGCTGCATACTAACAAAGCGTTTCCACTAAATACTCAGTACAAACTTGTACAAATAGTTGAACATGAGTATACATTACTCTTTTTTTTACCTGAATATCAAGTGTTTTTCTGTAAAACGTTTGCCGTTGAGGACATAGTAAGTCAGGTTGTTGTCCTTGTCAAGCAGCCCTGATAGATTTCCTTATTAGGTGTAATTATGCAGATCGCACTGCTGATAATTATAAAAGTGTAAACACATTCAGCAGGAGCATTCCTTTTCACCAATGCAAAAGAGAACAGAGCAGTGGTTCCATGCGGCTGACTTTTTAGCATCAGGTGGCTGCACCAAGTTATTGAGATTGTACAAGGTGAGAACGGCACATTTGCCTAATGTGTGCAGCATCTGTTTTCCACTTCAATCGCATTTTGCTACTATATAGCAACACAATACCAGATACAACAGAGAAATGAGAGGTATCCTCATCTGTCCTCGTGCCAGATGGCAGATTATATCTCGCCGGTTATGTTCATTTCATAACAATAAAGTGACTGCTGTGATCTTTTTTTTTTTTTTTTGCCAAATTAAAATGCATAATACAGCAACCATGCTCGAACATGATTCCTCCATTCTAATGTATTTGTACTCGGCGTAATGTTCCTCATTTGTTTTCATTTAATTTGCTCTTCCTTTCCTGAAGGTGTCTTTCATTGTCTTCATGTGAACAGTCAATGGAGAAGGACACATTATCCTCTGTGTAACGCTAGCTAAGTTGGCTTTCTTTGGGCATGAAATGCCTGCATATTCCCTGTAAACCGTAAAGATCAGCTCAGCAGTGCTTACAGTCTCCCCCCCCCCCCTTCCAGCTTAGAACACTGCATTTCGAAGGGGATGATGTTGAATGGCCGGTGTGCAAACAGAAGCAGGCACACTGCAGCTGAGCCTTGTGCTCTCCAGTCCTGAACTCTGAACACTGTGCACACTTCCCAGCTGAACCAGATTGTGTTTATCAGCAGGGCTTTTATGTCCACATGTTCTCCACATTCCCGTAACCCAGAGTCTGCGATCAGCATTCCCTCTCTTGTGAGAAATGGTCTTTTATTAGCAGGCGAGGCAGACTTGCCCAGATTCAGCACCCTCTCTGTGGACAGTGCTCAACTGCCAGCTCGAGCACTGTGCATGCTTTGTTTACGTGCGAGCGTTGCGTGTGTGTGTGTGTGTGTTCATATGATTGTGTGTAAGAGAGATAGAGTTGCCTATGTGAGCTGCAGCATCATCACTCTTTCTAAAATCTTGCTAGCGACAGATTGCAGAGTCCAGTCAAGAACCTATAGAAAACAGTTTTGCTGGGGGATGGCGAGGCAAGGATTGGGTTGGACTGCTTGGCTTCAATTTTTTATATCCGCAGGACTGTTATCATACAACATCCCCAAATTCACAGAGAGGAAAATAAAAGATAGAGGAAGGGAGACATGGAGTGGTAGAAAAGGAAGAATCTAGAGATCACAGGGTAAAAGTAGAAACAAAAATGAATCAAGCCTGTCCTGCTTGCTTTCTTTATTCCTTTTACTGCTCATGAATGTCCACACAGGAGAGTGGATTGAAAATGACTGAACAGGGAGAGCAGAGGGAGGTTGTGAAAGGAATCAGGGCTGGGGGACATAGCTTCAATTCCTGCTATTCTGCCTAAATAGGCTCTTCCTCTGTAATGCACTCAGGCTCCAGTGATTCGCTATGTGAATGCTGCCCATTTGCATAGCCACTCTCTCTCCTGCTTCCTGGCTGGCTGTTGAGGCTCCCCCTCCCTCTGTCCTCCTCCTCCTCCTCCTCCTCCTCCTTCTCCTCCTCCTCTCTCCCCTCTCCCTCTTGCGCACATCTTCTGGTACTGCGCTGCCGACGCTGCCCGTGTGCGATTGTGTGTTCCTGCCCAGGGGCTGCTCTCTCAGGTGCTGTCATTGCTATCGCTTGGTCTCGTTGAGAGCAGAGATCTCTAGATGGGCAATGGGTGCGCTACTTGGCACAACTTACAGGCGCAATCACGCCGTCTCCCGCGCGCTGCTGCAGCTGTCCAACTCATGTAAATGAATCTCGGATTTAACTATGGTCCCATTTCTCTGGACATCCTTTGAGACAACTGGAGGGGGAAAAGAAGAGAAAATCCGAATACCTGTCTTGATTTTCTGAAGAAATTCACTTTGTACAGGTGCTATCAGTCTGCTTCTGAAGTTGGCTTTCTTTTTTTTCCCGGCAGCTGCATTTTTTGGAATATTAACATAGTTTTTCGTGGAAGATGTTTCCTTTTGTGAAGGCTTAACAGCAGGAGAAAGAGAAACAGAATAACGGAACTCTGGGAATCGGAGCAAGCTGGGATTTCTCCACTGCTGTTTGAGGTTGCCCTCATTTCTTGAGTGAATGTTTCTGATTGTTTCTGTACGATGATTCATGATACCTCTTTGCCTCCCTGGGTGCTGCTACGGATTTCTTAACTAAGTGGAGAACAGCAAGAGGCTTTTTTTTTTATCTCACAACCGACATTTTGTGTGGTTTACCCCTTTGCTGTTTTTTTTTCTTCTTCTTTCACTGTGGATCTGTGTGAGTGTCTCTTGGCAAAGTGAATTTTAGCAAGGTGAGAAGTATGGGGCTGTAAGGCTCACCGAAGTTCCACCTTGATCTGAAGCCTCATCTGGCAACTCAGGGAAAATGTTCGGAGGCTGGTGGACACAGTTTCCTCCCCTGAGGCCCCTAACAGAGCCCCTAAACCGGAATTCAGCCTCACTCACCCACCTGGCCTTGTGGATCACTGCCCTGGCCCTGGGCTTTGTGGCCGGGTCAGAACCGGGTGCTGTGGAGAGTCTCCACCACATTCACCTCTCCCATGGAAACAAGCGTCACCATATTGTGCCTATTGCCATCCACAGATCACCTGCGTCCCTTAGAGCAGGGCACAGTAAGTATTTCCTTGTCTCACCAGCAATGCATTCATGGCATACAGTAACTTCTTAAGCTGCTAGTCATTTAACATTTCGTCTCTGTTGTTAACTTTTTGCAATCTCCATTCACTCTTTGGTTAAAGTTGTCCATTCAACTCAAAGTATTATTTGATATTGTTTATTTTGTTGTGTTGAAGATTACCCCTCCAAAAACACACGGCGCGTCTAGCTTAGATCCATCCCCTGTTTTACAGTCTCAGCAAAGTGCCCTCTGTCTCCGTGTCTGAGATTAGCCATATCCCTATCTCCAGATGCTTCACTGTGTCCAGATTAGACAGGATTAGAACACTGCAGTGCTCCATGTTGCCCCTGGGTATTTGGAAGAGACAAAGATGTGTTGCCTCCAGTTCTGCAGGGCGTCGAGCCGCTCCTGGCCTCTGCCCAGCGTGGAGTGTGGATGAGGCCTCTTTACCCTGTTTGGCACGAAGGTTCCTGACACAGAGACATAAAACAGGAAGAATCTCAAGTATGAGGAATTATATAACCTCACCCCCTCACCCCAAGTATTCATGGTAGACTGCAGTATGCTCTCCTCAATACAGTATGTGTGAGAATGATTTTGGAAATACTGCAGTTTTTTTTTTTTTTCCCCACTTCTTTGGAGGTGCTTATATTTTTCGCAGTGTGATTTTTACCTGCAGTTGTGAGCGAAGCTGATGTTTTAAGATTGAAGCAGTATTACACGCAGCAGATCAAAATACTCTTTACTCAAAATACTGCCCAAGCATTTCTGAGTGACGTAATCACTACTGGTGTAGCGCTGACGTAATGCTGAGGTACCCTTGGCTTTCATTGAGTAGACAGTGCTTAATAATGTACAAAAGTACTGCAAAGTCTCTAATATTAAAGTTTAAAAGTACGAGGCATTGAGTTGTGAGGGATAACACCATTGCAGAGCAGCACTGGCATTTTGAGGATGTTTTTACGGAGCAGCTCAGAAACCTAACTGGTGCCCAGATCACTGGGCAGAGTTAGACCTGTACGAACAAGGGAGTCAGTGCTCTTCAGTGATGATGAGGGCGATGGGGAGGTTTGCTGGCCTACTGAGACAACAAGAGAGGCAATTAGGCCACTCTGCTGTGACCTGTCTGGAGCGGACAACGCTCAGCTCGCCTCCTGCTCCCCCCTCAGGACCTCCGGGGCATGTGGGGCTTTCAGGCACATTCCAAGACCTAATATCATAGTTAGCGTTGCTGTCTCCACTGTGCTGTTATTATGAGAGAGAAAGTGGGGGGGGCGGGGGGGGGTAATGAAAAGCTTTCTCAGTAACATGATTACATTTTTTGGTTGTACAGCGCACCGAGGGTGCATAAATGCAAAATGGGAGACATGCTGTTCAACATGGTACCTGGCTCCAGGACAAAGCCTGCTGTTGTAAAAGCCCCAGTGCTGTTGTCTTAGCTGTGCTGCAATTGGTTTTATTTCCATGGGGCTTGTTCCTTACATGGGGTGTCTTTTCACTGCAGCAATTAAACATGCACAGCTCAATTTTTTCACTCTAATTTGTGAATGCAAGAGCCAAAGCCCCTCAGGTTTGATTCTGTATTTTTAACAGTATCTTTTTTGCTTTGTATTTGTAATTTATATGTATTAAACAACAAAAAGTAGCCATATGCTATTTTAAATTGTTCTCTTTCTCACTGTTTCTCTGCCCCCACCATTCTGTCTCTCTCATAGCTTTTGGTGTCACCGCCAATGTTAAAATCTAATCCTATTATTGTCACAGTACATTTAACATTGTCTCAAGTGATTAGACCAAACAAAGCTAATAGAGTGCTGACAGTTAGTTCTATATGGAAATTGCCTCCATTTCATGAAAATGCACATTTTCTTTAACTTAGTATGTAGCTAAATTAAACAATTAACTCTGGCTGCCCCAACGGTGGGCTATCCATCCAGTTTTCCAAGTATTCTCCACGACGACAGTTCCTGTAAGTGATTTCATAGGAAAACACACATTACTCTCTATATATATCAGAATATTGCAAGAGAAACCATGCTTCGTCTCCTTTGTATTGAACTTGTATGCCTGTCATTGATTTATGTGGAAAGAAGAAGAAAATTACCATGGTCAGGATGTATGAAATTGAGTTGGAGTGTGATGCATTGTTTGTTTAGGGCTAGCAGTAATGAGGTTCAGATAGTATGAGCTCTGAGGAGCAGACATACCATTCATCATGAATAGACTCCCAGAGGTGATAGGCCTCTTTCACAGAGATGGATACGATACTCGATATGCCGGTTAACTAGGTTATCATATTATTTTCTGTACCTGCTGTTTTTAATCGTTGAGACTGGATTGATGAGATGATCAGATTTGTAGGAAAAGGTTTTTTTTAGAGTTTAAGCAACTCATCTTCAGTGGTTAGTAGTAGATTATCTGCTTCTAACTTTTATTGGTAAATGCAGAAGATGGTGATCTGCAATTCTCACTGTCTGCTCAAATTAAACGGTATCTTCCACGTTCTCAGTTGTATTCCGTCTGTGCTATGTGGATGTATGTCATCCTCTCAGAATCCTAGCCCATATGTTTAGTAGGGGGGGAAGTCAACCTGAAGATCCATGATGATTGTGTGATATACTACACACGTCTCAGTACCCCCCCCCCCCCCCCCCCCACCACCACCAACACCTGCTCCATCAACTGCTGCACAATCGGCTGTTGTATTTCAAAACTCGGGGGTTTGATCAAAGTCAGCAAAGCAATTCAAGTGATTATAATCATTTTTAAAGCTCTAGTCTACACCTTCAGAGCAAATGGTTGAACGGGTTGGGGGCGGTGCCCGTTTGTGCTACCCCTGCTGCAGAACAGATGAGTGGGGTAGGAAGAGAAGGACAGAGGGAAGAAGTGAAAGAAGAGAGAGAATGAAGAACAATGGAGGTGGAGAAAGTGATGAAAGAAAGAAAGAGAGAACGAGAGAGAGAGAAGAGGGAGAAAGTGGATGGTCTCTGATGTTGCCTTGCTGCCGGTGTGTTGTGGGCTTGTATAATATAATTACTCCCATGTCTCTGAGCTGATGTCATTCTGCGATAGTGTGAGGATGACAGTATCGCTGCCTCTGTGAGGCGGCTGAGATGATAGCTGCCCTGATAAGGATCTGAGTACATGTTCCTCTGCTCTAGAGGGAGCAGAGGCAGTTATTGACCCAGGAATGAGAGAGTGAAAACTGCAGTCATTTCATTCTCCCCTCTCTTTGTTCTGTGAGAACACAAACACCCTCTTATTTTATTTGTGTGCACTTACGGTCTTTAACCTACTTGCATCCTATGATACTCTCTTCCTCCTTCTCTTCCTTCCTGCTCTCTGCACTCCATCTCTTCCAGACCACTCTGCCTAACCTGCCCACTCCCAGTCCCCTGGTTGGTCTACAGAGTCCATCTAAGCAGACAGAGTGAGCAGCCTTTTGCGCCTGCTGTGGTCTTTGTGGTTTTGGGTGGTGACCAGGCTATGGATGGCATGAAGGGAAAAGAGACCTGACTGTGCATGTGGTGGGCAGCGAGGGGTCAGCTGAGTAATGTGTCTGGTTTCGGATTACAGACTTGGGAAAAAGAGAGGGAGAGAGAGAGAGAGAAAAGAGCCCTCTCCGTTGACTCAACATACTTAGGTCCTGGATGAGTTTGAGTCAGGGAGCTCTTTACCCATAAGGCACTCAGTGAATCATCATCAACAGTGTCGTCTTCTTTGCCATCTAGCTCGTTCTTGTTCATCCCCGTCCATCTGTCTGTTTACACCCCTGGCTTTCCTTTTTAATTAAAGGTATTTCTTTGAAGTTACAAAGTTTACTGGTGAGTGTTCGTTGCTTAGTGTTACATCCGTTTGACATCGAACAAGTGTGGTGGAGAAAACGCGTCATCTTGCACAGAAATGGAAGGGAAAACTATCATACAGTCAACTGCACCATTTTCCCGCGTGCAATGTTGACGTTACACAGCTGTTAACCCTGCAAAATACAATAGCATATTGTAATGGGATAATGCCACTGGAACACTGACAAACCACACCAGATCCACACCAGATGCATAACAATCATTAGATTATATGAGACGTTTGGATACATCAAAACAAGAGTGACAGATATTTGAATGCACTTTATTAGTATAGCAAATTTGAAATGGCAAGCAGAACTTGGACATGTCAAAAGATTTGTGCATTTGTGAAAAGGTAAAAATAATAGAGAGGAACAAGAGAGATTGAATTTGAAAGGAGGCATAAAAAAAAAAAGATCCCTTCCACATTAACTGTTGAGTGTTTGAACCACGGCTGGATTTTTGCACGACAACATTAACTGTATGGGAGACAGGAAGAGTGGAGTGATGCATCTGTAGTGCAGGTCAACTGGTTAAAGATGTTAATGAAAGAGCTCAAATAGTTCCCCACAGTCCGTTCTGATTGACTCTATAAATGCCTCTCCATTTCCCAGGGGAGCGACAAAAGAAAGGAGTGGAAAAAAAAGATAAATTGAAATAAATAAAGAGCAGATCAAGAATGCAAGACCCCCCCCGTTTTTGTTATTTTTTTAAATCTAATCTGAAATGAGTTCAGTCACCCTGGAGAAGCCTCATTCTCAGTCATCATAATGAGGCAGCAGCTATCTCTGTGCCAGTCAAGCTTGTATATATACACACACTCATTGCACATTTACTCACAAATGCACACGAGCTCACTGCGCTCACAAAGCGCAACACTCGCCCAGATCATCTTTCATCTCTTTGATCACTTTGAATCATTGTCACGAGGGTGTGGGTAGTGGAAGTGATATGGAAATGTGCACATGGGAAAGGTTTCATTTATATAGTGTAACATATAATTGGTTAGTTAGAATTTAAAATGGCTCGTAAAGCCAAATAGAACTTAAAAGATATACAAACATGATCGTCCAGACATACCATAGTGAAAAGAGAACAGTTATAACTCCCCTAGTGGTGGACTAATTGGGTTCTGGGAAAGGTCATAGGA